GCTTCACCCAGAGTCTGTAGAAGCCATCTGAGAGGTCTATCTTGGAGAGGTACACTGGTCCAAATCTACTGTGGGCACTATGTATCCGCTGCAGCAGTCGTTTCAGTGCTCGGCCAAACTGCATGGCCTCAGCTGGGGCCTCAGGGGAAGTATCAGCATTCACTCCGAAGTAGCTGTAATCAGAGATCATACGGTCCCGGCATCCCCGTTGTGGTACCAGACCCAAGGGGCTGAGTCGTAGCCCTGGGATCCCAGTAACGAGGCTAGCCGGTAATACTGTCCACTGTTGCTTGTCAATCATATCCGCATATTCCTCCCATAGGAATTTGATTCCTTTGTGGGAGGATTTGTGGGCCCCCCTTGCAAGGGCCCCAGCTATCCAGGCTGCTCCCCATGGTGGGGTTGTCATTACAGCAGGTGTTCCTTCCTGTTGGAAACGGCTCAGTAGGGCTGCTGCAGGATGTGGGAGTCCCCCAACTTCGGGGTGGAGGTCCCCTCGACCCATTACGGACCTGACAAAGTCCCCCCAGCAGCTCGCTTGGTGGAAGGCTTGTACTGCCTTGGTAACGTGGGCATCGAGCCGGTCGTAAGGGTAGCTGGAAGGGACTGGCTCCCCTCTGTGGTGGTTCCTGGGGGACTCGGTCCCATGATCTCCAGGTTCCCAGGGACTGTTCACAGCCTCGCGTTGGCCTTCTTGGTCCCTACGGTGATTAGTACCAGGACCAGCGTAGGCTCGGCTCTCTGGTACGTGGTGATTAGTGGTAAGATAGGATGCAGGAACGGGCTCCTGTCCTCCTTTACGATCGTTTGGGAAATGCTCGTGTGTACACTGCTTACCTAGTTCTACAGGGGAGTGAGTTATTTCCCAGTCCGCTGCTGTATTTTGCACCCACCCTTTCCGCCTCTTGGCTGGGGGCAAGGGCACAGCAGCTGCTTGCTGGGGAGCAGTCTGCCTGCCCCCTTCTCATTGGTTCCTGTTACTGGAGTATGCTTCCTGGCACCAGGACCAGAACCGGTCATCTTCATCCCCGGCTGACTCCTTATGATCATACCCAAGCCTGCAACCGTCGTAGCAGAAGCCTTTGGCTCGCCAAGAATGGCACATCTCTTTGCCATCATTCTGGATGCAGGGGCCTTTCCCCTTGGCTTTCATGTTGCTCATGGCTTTGGCTATCTTCCAGTTCTTGAGGCGAGCCTTCAACTCATCCTCAGCCTCCAGTATCCTGGGGTCCTGGTTAGGATTTTCCACTCGTGTCTGTGGGGTGTTGTTGCCGCTGTGGCTGGCGGAACTGGTGCTCAGCCCGGTCCTCCCTCTTACAGTGGTACTGTTTCCCCCTCTAGTCGAGCTCTTTCCACTGGGGGCTGCGGAGACTTTCTGCAGTCCCTTCAAAGCCGGAATATCAGAGATCCCCGGGAGCCAGTTTAAATTACGGGAGAGCTTGAAGGTTCGGAACTCTTGTGTGAAGCTGGGGGCTTCCACTGGAGTGTCACTATCCCATTGGTCTTCTAACCAGCATCGAACTCGTATCTGGAAATAGTATACCAGTATAGCCGGGGCTAGCTTATCACCACACTCGTCTTTGAGTGCATGTCTCAACGTGAGTTGGATCCTTTTTAGTCGGTCGAGTCCACTCAAGTAGTTGCGGACCAACGGGTGATCAAGGCCTATTAGAGTAGCCAGAACTGGGAGATAGCCCTCTAGTTGCAGTAGGGCTTCGGTCCAGTCCACAGGAATGTATCCCTTAGCTTTGCTCAATGTAGTAGCGTCACTGAGGGATATGGAATTGCCTTCAGTGGAGACCATCATATCATAAGCTGCTGCAGCGGATGCATCTTCTAATTGCTGCTTCCTTGCAGTGGGGGACCCCCCTGGGGGTGCAAAGGCCATGGGGAGGATTCCATCCCCTAACTCACAGTCATCTATGCCGTAGAAACGGAACGCTTGGAAGCCTTTTAGTGCGGCTAGAGGTACAAAGGGGGGCTGTAGTCCCAGCTCTCGTGCACTTTGATCAACATGGCTCTGGAACAAGGCATGCAGCTTCTCCCCTTTCTTTTTGCTCGTCCAAGCAGTGTACACAGGGGGCAATTCTTCAGTCCGGTTTGCTGAACATAGTATCTTAAGCCGGTGGGCATTTAAGGATCCAAAGACATCCTCTAATGTCGCCGGCTTCTCCTCTTCCGCTCTGCGGCGTTCGCTTGCTTGTGTAGCTCGCAAGTGGATATCGGTAAGTGTGGACACCGCAGCAGTTAAGGCAGCTGTTTCCGGTCCTACCTGAAAGGGGACAGGTGCTAAGCCTGGGAGGTCCCGGTGTAGTACCTTTTCTTCCATGTAGAGGGTGAGGTTAGCTTCTGCACGGAAAAGGGGTCCGGGCTCGGTGGCTGCAATTTCGCATACGGCTCCCCCTCCAGGGACTGAGTTTAGGACTTGGGTACTCCCTATCCGTAGTGCGTTGCAGAGGGGCCCTGCCACATCCTGGAGATCGGTGGCATCGAGCCAGGGAAGAATGATAAGGTAAGCGTTGCGGGGTGAAAGCTTCTTCCCTATCACATGCGGCATTAGTTCAAATGGGATGAAGAAGGTGTGGCGACACTGTAGCTTTAAGGACTGCGGATGTGCGTCGCTTGTTAAGGGTCCTGTAAACTGTAGGTCCGGGTTTCCTTCTAGTTCAAGCTGGTGTAACTGCTCTGGGAGCACCCTCACTTCATTGGTGAGTGCAAACATGTTCGCAGTAACCTGAACCAGCTCTCCTCTTCCGGATATGACGTCATCCAGATACCCAAACACCTTGTTGGCATTGCTGGAGTGTTCTATCAGGTTCCCTGGGTACTTGCGGATCCCGTGGATTATTTGGAGTTGCGGTAACCGGGTGTTGTCATTTACGAAGATTCCTATTCCGCCTACTGCCTTTGCCTCGAATAAGTTTAGTACATGATCCAGCAGCCCAGACGCGGTTAGGGGTGTGGGTCCGGCGTTACCAAACCTTTGGAAGATCCCACGATAGGCGTTCTTCCGTATACTCGGATCAGGCCCGAAGGGATTAGATTGGGGATCACTGAAGAGGTCTGCGTACCGCAACGGACGCGGGTCAGCGGTGCTCCCCATCCCTTTACGGCTTTAGTGTAGGACCGGGGCGCGCTTTGTATGGGTTGGTGCGCCCCTGTCCCCTAAAAGCTTTAGCTCTTATTACTATTACTACTGTTTCTTTCGATTGCTGTGCAGTACTAGTGATCCCAGTGAGGAGCTGGGAGCTGCTGGGAGCTTGGGCGCACCTCTTGTTGCTGCTGCTCCTACTGTACTTGCTTACTGGTACCAGCTGTTCTTAACCACTCGTTTTCCTCCAGACGGACAGACGCGCGCGGCGCGTGTGTTCTTGGGTCCTGGCACTCCGGGACTCGCTACATCGAGAACGCGCTTGATAATCTTCGTCATAATTTCAATTTATACACACTAAACATACTAAAAGTACACGTAATCTCGTGCAGCCGGAATCACTCCGCCAACGCTATGATAGTTGATCGTGGTATGAGCAAGAACCTCTAATTTACCTGTATCGATTGACTCACTTGATTGAATATCGATTCGTATGCTACGTACAATTGGTCTCATACATACGTGATTCTTGTAAGTTCTAGGGGTCCGCAACGCAACGGTGTTTGAAAAACGTTGCGATGCAACGGTCCACAACGCCTTTTTTACATCCTTGACCGTTGCACAACGCCGTTGCATAATAAAATGTATAATATTAATATAATTACTTGATAGTCCCCCATACCACCACTATGATGTTGCTATTCACTTAATCATTCAAAGATGTGCCCATTTGTTTCTCATACCAATGATACAAATTTTCAGCTAGTACATGCAAAGTCCTCCCTGCAATATCAGGATCAAGCTTAGTGCGTAGATCACTGATGATCCCCTGTGCCCTACTAAATATTCTTTCTGAAGGAGCAGATGTTGCTTGAACAGCAAGATAGTAGTACTTCCTTGCTAGAACAGCCAAGAATGTTGGAAATTGGTTCTTTTTATTTCCCCACCATTGTAGAGGATTGGAGTGCCTGGTCTTGCCACTCTCCTTGTGACTGTTTGGTAATTGTGAGGGATTGGTATATGGTGCAAAAGGTGTTCTTTTTGTAACCCTCCTGTTACAAAATACAATGGTCCTTGCAGTCCTCCAACACGAGCATTGCCTACTAAACATTTAGTCCCACATGGCTGGTATAGTAACTACTACTAGTTTACTACTATAAAAACCTCTCTGAAAATGTACAAGAATTCATAGTATTAAAATTTGCAAGAAGGGAGCAGCACCAACAAAACTAGTAGAAGAAACAAAACCCCCTGCTACTAAGAACACAGCAGTTCGTATTGGCTGCTCACTACTACCATAACATCCTCACTAGTAAGTAGTAATAGTAGACGTTTTCCAGTAGTAAGCACTACTACTAGTAATAGTCATTCAAAAGTGGTAACCAATGAATTTACCTCTCCAGTAGTAAGGACCACTAATAGAAATATTTTGGGCCTCAAAAGTTTTTGTGTGTGGAGGGGGGGGAGAGGGGAAATGGAGATGGGAGAATGAAAAAAATCAAATTTTTTAGTCCCATATGATTCAGTCTTGCAACGCCGTTGTGTACTAGTAGAGTGTAGCGTTGCACCGTTGCAAAAATTTTAACCCTAGTGCAGCGTTGCAACGCTCAAAAAGCGTTGCGTTGCGGACCCCTAGTAAGTTCGATTGGTTTGATCTTCGACTAAACCAAATACAGTACGTACCGTAGTAGATCTTACGGGGACTGTAAAAATCACTGGAGACACGATTGAGTCACTCGTATAGGAGATTGACTAATACGACTACGACTCATACGATTAACACGTACCGATCTTTCTTATCAATGAAAATACAGCTCAAACAGCAGCGGATGCTGTTTGAACTGGTCACACTTCTTTCTTTTAACTCAACTAAACACCCTTATCATGCCCCCAACACTATGGTGATGACTATATTGCTAAGCCTTTAGTGTACATTGCACTGTATGAGGTTAGATGCTCAGTAATCTTTATGAAATTATTGTGGTCAGGATGATCAACATGCTTGATTCTGTTTGCAGTTTCAATAAGACGTGGGTCTTGAATATTGGCACAGAAATCATAGCAAGAAGCTTCTTCATCTATAGTTCCACCATAACATTGAATGGTATTGCGGACCTCGTACCGCACGGCCGTATTCAATTGTTACGAAACTCGTAGTAGTCTGGCATTCGATTCATTATGTCCCGGATCCCGTCGATGTCGTGTGGATCGTCATCGAATTGGTCGAAGCAAGCCCGGCATATTACATAGCCACGACTATTACAGCTCGTACACTGTACAATTCGATTCCCCATTGCAACATAGGTTCCGACACCGTCACAGTTTGGACATGGGGTGCGCCGAGTACTATGACAAACTTCGCATGGTTCATTGACAGCCACCATTTCCCCCCCTCCTCTTTTACCCGACAACGCGTTCCAAAAGCCCCTAGCTAAGTTACCATTGGCAGGGCCTCCCAGGAAATAAATAGGGACAATCCATAATGGAAAGAATCCTGTTTCTCCCAAATCTGTATAGTGGTAGCCACCACTCATTAGTCCCGACGACGTAGCGGTGATCAAACCAGCTTCGATAAGCGGTCCTCCTATACACGTTATGAGACTAACAGTAAGACCCGAAAATGTTCCATCTAGAACGAGAAATCCAGAAGCGGCAAGAAGTGACATAAGGTTTAGAATCCCAGTTCGGTCCAATGTATTCGATTGCAACAGTATTCCGCTTAACCAGTACTGCAGTGTGAAGAATGATATCCCTACAAGAGTTTTCGATGGAGTAGGTCGTAATCGCTCGTCATTGGATGCATTCAGTAGCGTGGCATCAAACAAAATATATAGCCATCCGATAAGAAACCCCGCAAGTCCAAACAGTTCAGGAACCCACCAAGCGGTGGTCAACGCGGGATAAGTTTCGCTTCCCCACAAAATGAATCGGATTGGCTCGTCATAAGCCAAGACACCAAAGGCACTATGATAGGAATCCAAAAACGGCCCCAGTGTGGCTCCACAAGTAGTCATTAGGACTGAGAAAAGAATCGATCGTTTGGGGTACTCCGTGATGAGATGGAACGCGTTGTCTGGGGAGTTTTCATTATTGTTAAGGTCATCCCCATCCCCGTCCAAAGAGGAGGAGAACATGATGGTTTTTGCGAGTCTCGATTTTCTGTTATAGTCATTGGGAGTAACTGTTCGCTTCTTTACTATATCAATTGTTTGTGAACTCAGAAACGAAGCGGTAGCCGAATTCGTTTTTCGGTTGAGAGTCATCGACGGGACGACAAACCCAGTTACGAATAAGTTGAACCCATCGAGTGTAGACGAAGTCCTCTTCAAAAGCAGAAGACAACAGAATGCTACTAGCCAAAAAAAAGGTATTTTACATCGATGTACACTGCGATAACATGAACCATTTTTCATTGTGTTCTGAGCACTCGAGATACTTTTATTCCTCGTGGTATAGTAGTCTCTGTGTCTTCAGCGAATGGGGTTCTCGACGACGCGCTAACAAGTGGTGAAATTCTGTACGATACTGTTGAGCAGCTCAACCATTCGTTACTACGCGTTTCATAACAATTGAAACCGGTCTCGGAAAAGAGCAAAAAGTAATAATTTTTGCTCGTACATCATGTAATCCTCCAGTTGCTCGCTTTTCACGTGTAATCACGCGCGCTGGATTACTAAAAGATTAATTCCTCCGTCCGGGAACAGGTGTCCAGTTTGCACCTTTACTACTGAAATAAGCTCAATTTTTGGGCGATTGGAATGCTTCTTTTTGGACTTAACAGATCTATTATAGTGTTATTCAGTGATGAAGATAGTATAAATGGAATTTGTCTGACGTACTTGCAGTAATTACTTAAAGAGGCTTGATTTTGGCATATGATTTTCATTTTACCGGTTTTTTGGGTTCTGGCGGTCATTTAACTACAGGACTGGTGGCTATAGAAAGCTGAGAGTGAGAGCTTTAATATGGTATACTTACCGTACTCATTGAGAATGTTCTTATGCAGTCATAGTGGGTCACTAAAGGAGCCAAATATTGCTCGGGCACTTGTTCGGGCCTGTGCAGTTTTTTTCAATTTTGAGCCAGAGAACGGATGCGAAGAGAAAAAAAAATGCTGTGCACATGGAGCAAAAATGAACCCCGTCTTATTTTCACGTGATAATTTTCACTCTTGATTCACTCACACCTCCTAATTTCCTCTTTTTGACTCCTTTCTGTCACTTCGATCTTTCCATTCAACTGACTAAGACCAGCTTCTTTCTTCTTTCTTGCACCTCAAGTGACTCATCGACGTTGAGCCTACGCGCCTCCACTACTACGCGCCTCCACTGAGCACCTCCACTGAGCGCCTCCACTAAGAGGGGGAATACCAACTCGTGTCTCCGTTGCTCGTCATACCGACTCGTCGCGTCTCCGTTGCTCATCGACGTTGAGCCAACGTGCCTCCACTAAGAGGGGGAAAGACCGACTCGCGTCTCCGTTGCTTCCACTAAGAGGCCTGGGGGGGGGGGGGGGACGCGTCTCCATTGCTTCCACTGAGAGGGGGGAAACGATCCTCCGACTACAAAAATCACTAGAGGGGATCGAACGCGCCTCGCGCCTCCGTTGCTTCCACTCCTCCTCGGCTCGCGTCTCCGTTTCTCCCACTAAGAGGGGGAAAACGATCCTCCGACTCGCCCGCCTCCATTGCTTCCACTCGCCCGCCTCCGTTGCTTCCACTAACAGGGGATCCATCGACTCACCGGCATCTCCAGCCTCAAAGCAAAGAAGTTCACCGATGCGGGAAGCGAAGCACCTCCATCGACCGGTCCGTATTCAACAATCAACCATTTAACTCACTCTTTTCCCCCTTCATTCTTTTCAAGGCAAATCAACTAACAGCAAGATGATAACCAATGCGATTGAGCTGCTTGAAGCTAGTGATACAGCAAGCAATACGGCGAGCGATACTGGTGCGAGTGATACTGGTGCGAGCGATACTGGTGCGAGCGATACTGGTGCGAGCGATACTGGTGCGAGCGATACTGGTGCGAGCGATACTGCGAGCGATACTGCGAGTGATACTGCAAGCGATACTGCGAGTGAGGCAGGAAGAAAGAAGCTCAGCATTAACTTAACCGACAATGAGCGACGTGCTGTTCTACAGATGCTTCTTCAAGAACAAGGTACTAGTACTGGTGAACAAGAAGGGAAGCTTGTGAAGGGAGCTCTTAAAAGAACTGCRGAGCACTTCAATAAATCTCCCAGGACAATTGTAAGGATCTGGAAGCGGTACAAGGAGACTTATGATCCAATTACATGCCCTGCTGGTGATGTTTCTGCAAGGAAAAAAGGCAAGACAGGAAGGAAGAAAGCATCAGAAGTAACGAACTTGGAAGAAATTCTCAAAGATGTGGCATACAAAGACAGAGGTGATCAAGAACCCTTTCAGCTGTAACTGGAATCCCCAAGTCCACTCTGCATACTCTTGTGAAGCAAGGTGCTATTAGGAAGCACAACAGAACCACCAAGCCTTTGCTAACAGATAAGAATAAAGTTCAGCGTGTTGAATGGATATTGAGTCACATTGATAACAACGGCAGATTCAATGATTGGTTCAATTACATCCATGTTGACGAAAAATGGTTCTACTTGAAGCGGACTAAGCAAACGACTTATCTGCTACCAGAGGAAGATGAGCCCAAGTCCACATCAAAGTCGAAGAACCATATGACGAAGGTTATGTTTCTTTGTGCAACGGCACGCCCTCGGTTTGATTCCATGAGGAATGTATGGTTTGACGGTAAACTTGGGATTTGGCCTTTTGTTGTCAAAGAACCAGCCAAAAGAACCTCAGTGAACCGCCCCAAAGGAACACTAGTGACCAAACCACAGAATGTTAATGGTGAAGTATACAAGCAAATGTTACTTGACAAAGTTTTGCCCGCAATCTATGAGAAGTGGCCAAAAAAAGCTGATGGCAGTCCACCATCTGATGAGATTATTATTCAAGAGGACAATGCGAAGCCTCACAAGCTGAGTATCAGAACTGATATTTGCAAAGCTGCAGCAGATGCAGGCTGGAAGATTCGTGTTGTTACCCAGCCACCAAATAGTCCAGATATGAATGTGCTTGATCTTGGATTCTTTAATTCAATCCAAAGCCTCCAGTACAAGAAACGGTCCAAAGATATTGATCATTTGATTGACAATGTTGAAACGGCATTTGATGAGACTAAGCGTGAAACTCTCAACAACGTTTTTCTATCTCTCCAGGCTTGTATGCAAGCATCTCTTGGTGTTAGAGGCGACAACAATTAAAGGCTACAGCACATGGGGAAAGCAAGTCTCCTTCAGAAGGGAACACTTCCAATTTCAATTCTTTGCAATGCTGATCACATCAAAGCAGGGCGCGAAGTGCTTGCTGAAGCTCAGGCTCTTGCTGCTGATTCCCAATAGCAATAATAGTAGTATAATAACATCAATAGTAGTGATAACACAAGTTTCTGGTACTAATTGTACTCAATCGTACACAGTCATTCTGTTGTGGACACTTGTTTTTCGGACAAGAAAAATAGTCATACTGGACACCTGTTCCCGGACGGAGGAAGTACATGTAATCGCGCGCTAGTTAATTTTCTGCTTAAATCTCGCACCTCGATGGATTACAAACCTGCAAAATGGATTACATGTAATCCAAAATTGTATTCAGCGCTCTCCTATGACAGAGCCTTCTTTTTTGCACACTATTGCTAGTTGTCTGGCTGAATCGGATTACAACTCTGAAAACAAAATTTTCACAATGGATTACTTTTTTTGAGGTCTATCCAATTTTTGTTTTCAACTCCTCAGCTTGCTGTGTCACTCAACTTTGCACTCTTCCAATATTTTGCGATTAAAAGTACTTGCGTTCTCTCTAAAGAAGATGAATCTGTTCATCGGAGTGTACCCTATCACGTAGAAAAGTACTGGATTCGTACCTCATCGGAAGGGCAACACGGAGTGAATCTTGTCGAAAAAAAATTAGAAAACTCCTCCTCGAAAAAAGTATCAAGGATTGGACTGCTCTTCCAATATTTTGCATAACAGTATGTTCTCTCTAAAGAAGATGAATGTGTTCATTGGGGTTCACCCTTCGATGTAGCAAAGTACCAGACTTGTACCTGATTGAAAGGGGAACACTGAGTGAATCTTGTCAAAAAAAAAAACAGAGAACTCCTCATAAAAAGTATCGTGGTTAGGACAAGAAGCAAAGTATAATGGTTAGGACCAGAAGCAGCAAGAACCTTCGTCAATCCCAAGCGCCTGCACCCAAAGCGCCTGCTGGAAGAAGACATCGGCGAGACCATGGCGCGTGGCCTGAGTTCGCCCATCTGTTTGATGCTTCTTCCACTCAGGACTCTGATACTATCGTGAAGAAGGAACTGTTTCGTGCAAGGAACCGGCAAGGGGATGATATCTCCTTCTGTGTTGATTCAAGACCAATCGATGTCGATGGGTCCCCCTTGATAGCAACGCAACCAGTTCCGCCAATCCTCCAGGCAATGAGGGAAAGAGGAGCACCAAGAGCAGGAAGAGCTAGAAGAGTTACGATGAGTGAAGATAACACCACAGCACCCCCCTCTCCTGCACCCGCACCGGAAGCAGAGAAAGAAGCCCCCCCCTCTACCATTGTCCGCAATCCATATGCGAAGAAATACACCAAAACAAGTAAAGCTTGGCCAGTAACACGTGGTGGTGATCGACGCGTCCCTCTCCCTCCTCCGCAGAACAAAGATCCCCCTTCATCAAAGGCCCCAACCGATACTAACAACAAGAACGCATCGAACCCCCACCGCCAGCAGCTGGTAATACCGCTATTGTTGAGTATGCAAGGACAATCCGCGACAATGCAAATGCTTTCAACACTCTTGGGAGTGATGAGTATCAAGAGGCCAAAGCCAAGACAAAGAAGTATGCAAAGACAATCAGCACTATTCACCAAAATTTTGTGGACATTGTTGCTGCAGCAACAGATCCGGCAAAAAACGATCCTGGGGACAGGGTTATGAATGAGATGTTTACAAAGAAAGTGTTAATGGAAGATGGGTTGACTGAGGATTATTTATTTTACAAGCATGTAACAGGCAAGACTAATGCTGTAAGCAAGCAGATAATGGATCGCGCACTCAAAGTATGGGCAAAGCACATGAAGAACACCAAAACTGGAGCTCCACTTGACACCAGCACTATGAGTGTTAGGATTCGTCAGCTCTTTGTTGCTCTTCATGAGAGGGACGTAAGATACAAGGAAGGAGATTTTAAAACAAAGGGGGGCTTCCTTGCCTTCATTAAGCATGATTATAATTCAAAGCGCGAAGCTGATCCTTCCATTGGAACCAAGCAAACTAAGGCTGAGTTTGATGAGTTTGTTGATGAGAAGTTCCGTAAGGTGTTGACTGATGGTACTTACAAGCCCTATGAGAACATGCAAGACTTGCTGAAGCTAATAGCTATGGAGCTCAGAAGACAGTTTGGAATAAGGGGAGGAACAGAGCTTGTGGGACTGATGTGGTCACACGTTAGAATGGGAACCTTCAGCAGTGGTAACATGAAAGGATTGAAGTACGTAATCATTGCTCCTGGAGGAGGGTTTGATAAGTCTCACCAGCTTTCACTGAATAATCCAACCGTAAAAAAGCAGTTCCCCTCTGTCTTGGAAGATCCTGAAAATCCAACCTGTGTTGTAAAGCTTATGAACTTTTACAGGACTCGATGTGATCCAAAGCAAGCAAGATTCCTATGTCACCCTAACTTGAAGAAGAAGAAG